TGGTTTTCCACTTTATTCTTATAAAGAATAAATTTATCAACGACATCGTTTTTGCTCTCAAGCAAAATTCACTTAGCACTATTGAGTGTTATCGTTGATACTCTGAGAAGTACATCCAAGATGTCACCCGAAGGTTACGTACCTCCACTTCTCGATAACTCGCCTATGACCGAAATGTACGTTTACTTCTCGATCACATGGCCTAGAGGTGCTTCTAGCACTTCACAGACCCGAGATGTGCACATCACTTCTCGGTGGTTTTGTCACATCACAAATATCATATTTGTGCTTATCATTAAATTTGGAATGTGGTCTATGCTAACTAATCTACGTATAGATTCAAAATTACCATGACCTTGTCTACCGTGCCACAAACACGAAGACCCAACCAGGCAAGACCAATTAATAATGTTCTTATTAATTACGGTTATTACACCGAGCTTATAGCTCAATTAGTAATTAACTCTTGCCTTCATTCCAAAAAATTAGACAGAACCTTGTCTTAATCCACAATAGTGACAACTTTATAAATCATTACACCATTACTCGCAAGTTAGGTGGTTCAAGATTTATTTTGTTGTCCCAACACTTCTGTCATTTGTCACAAATTAATTTCATACTAGTACAATTTGTATCTTTAATCAAGTTAATTTTCACATAATTAACAAGATTATATCAACCAAATTTTCCAACTAGTTGAATCATGCTTATATAATCGTATTAAGAATATTATTTTAAAATATTCAATACACTTGAGCTTTGACGTTCACGATTATATAGACATCCCAATTTTGACAAATTGACTATGCTTGAAATCTAGAACTGAAGTCCTTTACGAGATTTCAACATGCAACACGTTTGTTACATACCACTATGGCCGTTAAGCCATTCAAGCATTTTCCGTGGAATTGCCTCTTGAAGTCCTTTCTGCCCAAAGGCAACAAATGGATACCAGATTCCATTTGAAAGGCTTCACTCACGATCATTCCTTCGTCAACTTGACTAAGGATGATCCCGGAATCTACCATTTTGTATTCAAGTAATCGGTTAACGACAAACATTTTTGCCTTAGCGTCATCACTATTATACTTTAGGTCCAAAGATTCCCACAACGAGTCACACAAACCGTTCAAAACATAGTTTAGGCATAGGAAAACCAAATATTTTCAAATCCGTACTATGCTAACAGGTTGAGCGTTAGACTCGTGTTCCTTTCCACTAGGAACCATCTCGGTCAAGAACCATGACATGCCGAGAATCATTAGCTTGTACAACATTTTAAGTTGCAACCCTTTGAAATTCAACTCCGTGAATTTCCTTGGTCTTTCGACTAAACCACAAGGTACCGTCCTATGTACCTTCATCATAGGGATATACCCTTTGATGCCACCACCGGTCTCCGAACCAAAGTTCACCGGGGTTTCGGAAAGTGCAACTACATTGCCGATCCGGCCAATTGAATGTGCACCATGAGCAGCATTCACGGTTCCACCACTCGTGGAATCCATCAATTTATTCACCAAAAATTACTCGGTTTTAAGATTGTTGGAAATTGGTGAATAAATCGATACACAGAGTATATATATATATAAAATATATAATTGTCTCGAAAAATGGAATTTAATTTATAGAAAATTAATTCCAAGCAATTTTGGTACGAAACCAAAATTACATATATATATATATATATATATATATATATATATATATATATATATATATATATATATATATATATATATATATATATATATATATATATATATATATATATATATATACCTCGTATATATATTAACTAACTAGGGATTTATTTTATCAAAATAATCTCACTACAACTAGTACGAAACTAGTACACGGGACTTAATTTCCACGAAATTAATCCCACCACAACTAGTACAAAACTAGTACAAGGATTTAATCTATCTGAGATTAATCCCCCACTTGGTCCGAATCCAAGAACAAAATAAAAGCAAGAACGGGTTTCTAACCTGTGGTTTTAACCCAACGCGAAGAAACAAGAAGAAGCAGAGGAAGCCCGAGTCGTGTGTACATACACTCTCCTTAAAACCGATTCGCCACCTCCCGAGGGTGCTAGGATCGTTGTGGCGTCAGTTTCCTAGGATAAAACGGACTACGACTTTGGCGTTCGAGCACTCCAACCCAAAGCCCGGCGAACTAGAACACAAGTTGAGCACTCCGATGTTTTACGGAAGATGTTGGCAGAAATTTCCCTTTGTAAACGAGACGAGAGATGAGAGAAAACAAAACAAAGTTTTCTTTGAGTTTTCAAAAACCGGAGTAAACAATCTGCCAAACACCCAACGTATTTGTAGGAGAAATGGAATTAATAGCCTATTCATGGCACATAAACCAACATAAATTCAATTTTATAATTGAATTATAACGTTCGAAACGGTCGTACTTATTATCGAAATAATATCAACGGTCACAAACTTAATACGCGATTAATTCGTACCGACCATAACGACCCGTTTCAAAATATCTGAGTGACCGAGAAGTCCATACCAACCCGAAGGTTTAACGAATTGGGATCGAAAACCACACGCGAGTGGTTCACACGTACCGAAACAGTGCAGCACGAATCAATGCATATAGCATTGACTCGTGCTCACCGAATCCATAGCACGAAAGGAGCTCACACGAAATGAACTCATAACTCAATTCACTAATTAAGCTTTAGTTCCATTTCTCAAATTAAGCTCCCAAAGCTTAATTACACAACTTTCGTGTAGCACTGAATGCTAAGCACGAAAGGAGCTCCATTCCCAATTCACTAATTAAGCAAACAATGCTTAATTACTTAAGCTTAATCAAGCTTATTTCGTGTACAACGAATCAAAGCTTAATAACAAGTTGCTAACTTAATTAGCAATTAGCTTAAGATTTTGACTTCTCCCAAATAGGTTCGCTTTGAGAATCAATTTCTCATTCACCTATTACCCATTTTGAGCGTACATTATATCAAATTCTTCGTCTCACTACGAAGAACCCGAATCCACTTTGACCCGACCCAAATCGGAAGTGGACCCACATATATTTGTACCACAAAATAATCACTCAAAATGCCATTTTTACCTAAAAATTCCAACAATTTATCAGGATACATTGAAAACAATGCAGATTTAACCTCACTCTCTTCAAATGGACGCAATAAACTCTCATTCTGTGTGCCTGTTACACATGATTGTATACTCCCAAAGAAATCATCATTAACAGTAGGAGAACTCGAGTTAAAAATACCACGATAATAATCCAAGATTACATTCCTCATGGCATCCCCCTCAATCCAATCCCCATCATTATTCATAACTTTAGTAATAGCATTCTTTTTGTTTCGATGAGAAGCATACCTGTGGTAAAACCTGGTGTTTGCATCTGCATCCTTGAGCCAATGCTGTTTGGCCCTCTGTTTCCAGTACGTATCCTCCTGTAATTCAATACGAGCCAAACATTCATCTAGTCTCCGAAACTCGGCTAGGGATACCGGATCCGTAGACCCCCTGAGGCGCAACTGTTGCTTACGCAAGTTTAATATTTTCTCACCAAATTTATGGAATCGGTCTCTACCCCAGCGTGTTAACCGATCACCACATAGAGTGACACACTCCTGCAACCCCCTACTTCTTCCTTCGCCCCAGGATTTTTCCACCACTTCCCTACACCCCTCATCATGTAGCCATGCCATTTCAAAACGAAAACCCCTTCTCAGAACACCCCTCCTTCCCCGAAGATTGAGAATCCCAAGGAAAAGGAAAGAATGATCTGATTTCCGGGTTAATATATTCTGCACATTTGCATCAGCCACCAACTCTCTCCAGGTTTGAGTAGCCAAAACCTTATCCAATCGTTCCTCTATCCAGTTTGGCGTGCCTTTTCCTTTCTCCCAAGTATAGGGATATCCAGACATTGGTAATTGTGTCAAACCACACTCCTCAATAGTTTCTCCAAAGCCCCATAGCAAGCTGTCTGGATGGGGATTTCCTCCTCGTTTCTCATACTGATATAAGAGATCATTAAAATCTCCAATGATTACCCATGGCAGATCCGATCTACTGGCCAATGATCGAATAAGGTCCCACGACTCCCTTCTCTGCGGGCGCTTCGAGAAGCCATAGAAACCAGTCATCCTCCACTTATCAAAACCTGGCACACTCACCTCAACATCTATGTGATTATTAGAATAACCAATTATTCTTGCAGTATCCTTCGTTCTCCATAACAATGCCAATCCTCCACTCAATCCAGTGTTATCCACATTAAAAAGGCCTTCGAAACCAAGCTTAATCCGAAGTCGCTCTGCATGATCTCGGTTAACCTTAGTTTCCATCAGAAATACAAAATCGGGTTTCTTGCGGGACACTATGTCCTCAATTTCCCGAACTGTCCGTGGATTACCCAAGCCACGACAGTTCCAGCTCAATGTACTCATTGGGTCGGGCGGGTCTGCACCGCAGCAACCGCCGTCTGCAAGTTTTTTTGAACATCCGTCATTGCTATATCCTCCTCCATCACCACTCCCTCCCTCACCCGGTGCCCCCTACCACCCCCATTCTCATAATCCGCCAAACATAAGCTATTCGGCTCAATGTCCACCCCTACTTCCACTCCACCACCAATCTCCCCATCCATTCTACGTCTCTTTGGATCCAGCCTTACTCCATCTTCCTCTCCAACTACCCCTTTCTCCCTCGCCAACCCCAACTGTCCGTCACCACCCTCCCCCACAGCTCTACCCACCGCCACCCGTCCCCTTGTTCCAGATATAGCCGACCCACCTGCTACCGCAACATTGTGTCCGTAGCCACCAACACCAAACCCGATTTCTTTCCTTCTCTCCTGCCCTATCTTAAACCACTTATCACCCAATATCTTGGCCGGATTATTACCACCCGCTCTCATAGCCGCACCAAACAGATATTGATCCGGTGTCAATAACGAACGACGAGCAGCTAAACAGAATTTATCAGTATGCCCCATTACACCACAAAAAAGCAGAACATATGCAAACGCTCGTACTTGAAATTTATCCAGACCCACGTCCCATCCCGCATGATCATCTTCATACGACGTTTCAAAGGGACAGATACATCATGTGTTATACGTACCCAGTAGAACGAGGTCCACGGTCTCTCAAAATTACGTTCATCATAACGTAAAAACACCCCCACGAAATCCCCAATCCGCTCAAGCACCTTTACAGTCCGGTATCCCAATGGAATATCATAAACCTGCAGCCAGAAGTCCACAGTGTTCAACACTACTTGCGTCGGATCTTCCACGTCATTCAAAACCTGGCAAAGAAACGTCGCGTTCTCAAACGCCCAAGGACCTTCCTCCAACACTCGGCGCATGTCTGCCTCATCAAAGAATGTAAAGAGATATAAGTTCGGGGTAACGTCTGTTATCTCAATTCCCATAAGTGGCCGCCATGCCGAGGCCATGACTCGCTTCATCATCTCCATTTTCATGATTCGGTCCGTAAGGAACCGGCCAACCAACGTCCATGTGCGACGTTCCGGCAGTTGCACCGCGACACCATATCCCTCGTCATCAAAACGCACACCCTGTTCTTCATCTTCCAGACGTATCTCCGCAGTAGATGCAATGATTTCACGCACATCCATAGCCAAATCGCCGATGATCGCCCGATCATACGCAAGAAAACCGACAGAACCCTAGATCTCAGGGAGGTACGAGAGAAAACCCTAGTTCACAGGGAGAGTAAATTGTACGGTTCTACTATAAACTATTTTGATTATAATTACTTTAAAATATAATACTATCCAAGTGGATAATATTAATAAAAATAATAATAATAATAATAAACGTAAATAAAATAAACATTTGGCAATCCAATCAGCAAAAACCTGGAGTTAACCTGTAAAAAATGTTAATTGCTCTTTTTTTCAGGGTTCAATGGCTTATTTGCTCTTTTTTCCCGGGTTCAATGGCTTATTTGAGGGTTATTTGAGTTCGATGGCTTAATTGCTATTTTTCAAATAGTTCAGTGGCTTATTTGTACTTTATCCCTTTTTATTTCCTGGCTAATCGGACTAACCCGACATGATTTTTAAATAGTATATTAAAAATGTATATTGCATTTATGGTCCACACAATAATTTGCCTATAATTTTTCGATCTTATGATTAGCCTATCATTTTCGGGATATGATTGACATCTTTAATCCTATGTCCAAAGTCCAAAAACTACTGAAGGAAGTAAACCGCAAGTTATCTCGAGATCCTAATGTTCTCAACCCTGATTGTACACAGTGTGTACAAAGAGTCTCATATCTTCTTATGGGTTAATGTTTCCTAATGACCCGTAAGTTCCCAATGAAATTTGAACATTACAGTGTCATTGGGACAGGACCAATCCAACCAATTGAGCAGCCTACGAGCCAATCAATCATTTTAGGTCAGAGATGGCATACTGAATCTCCTTCCAGGAACATCCCAAGAAAAAAATAAAATAATCAAATTCTTGATCGCCACTTCTTGAAATTGAGCTATTATTGACTTTTGATCATTCTTTCGTGGCGAGGAAGAAATCAAAAAAAAAAAAAAAAAAAAAATCTCCACCCATAAATTACAAAGAGAATCTGGCAGAGAAGCCATGGAGAAAATGGAAGAAACAGCCTGCAAATCAGAATCCCCAGAAATCTCTCTGAGGCCAATGGAGCTCTCGGACCTGGATGATTTCATGGAGTGGGCAACAGACGACAGGGTGAGCCGTTTCTGTACGTGGGACACCTACACTCGTAGAGACCGAGCAGTGGACTACATAAAGAACACTGCAATCCCACACCCATGGCTGAGAGCGATTTGCCTTGAAAACAGGGCAATTGGGGCAATCACTGTGGCCCCAAGGTCTGGGAGCGACAGTTGCAGAGGTGAGCTTGGGTATGTGTTGAGTCACAAGTACTGGGGCAAAGGGATTGCAACAAGGGCAGTGAAGATGGTGGCCTCTGCAATCTTCTCAGAGTGGCCTCACATGGAGAGGCTTGAGGCTTTTGTAGATGTGGGTAACAAAGGCTCCCAGAGGGTGTTGGAGAAATCTGGGTTTTTGAGAGAAGGGGTTTTGAGGAAGCACCATATCCTTAAAGGGAGATCTAGAGATTTTGTGATTTACAGCCTCCTCTCCTCAGATTCCCCTTCTCTAGGCTAGTATATGAATCACTGATTCATGTTATTGGGTCCAGAGAGAATCTCTTCTTGTGCACCATACTCTGATCTACTTTATAGTTACCATTTTAGAGCATCCACAATGGCTGGGGAGAATTGTGAGATAATGTAAGAGTGATTAGGAGAGAGAATGCGGGAAGGGGAGGAAAAAAAAACAAAAAAATCAAAATCAAAAATTAAAAAATAAAAAAAAAATTAAAAAAAAAAAAAGAGTCAGGCGCGCCGTTCGGCGCGACTGACGCCGGGCGCGTGCCTTGCACGCGCCCGTGTGGGCGAGCTGCTGTGCGCGTCTTCCTTTTTCTTCTCTTTCTTTTTCTTCTTTTTCTGCATTCTCCTTGAATTTGCAGGAGGAATATCTCCACCAATAACCCCACCCCACACTTGTTATTATCCCCACCCGAGATAATTCATCTGACATTATCTCCATAATATTCACTGATGTGGATGCTCTTACTACTTTGTAAGTTGAAGAATCATTGTAAAAATTCTTTATGAGATTTTGCGCTTTTGGTCTAAAGACTATAGTAGCACTATCAGAATTAATCCATGACTTTCAAACTTTACAATTTTAGTCCACGACTATTGTTTTTTTGGTAAAAATGGTCTTTCTGACCACTTTTTCGTCAAAATTCCACCGAAGGAAAATTTCTTCATTTTTAGGAGGGCTAAAATGGCTGAATTTGCCTAGTACGAAAAGTGTAGAATATGCTTTTATATAAAGTGTATTGCAAACCTGGAGTATTGATGTTGTTATTGCAAGCGAAATGTCAAATTTAGCCCTCTTAAAAATGAAGAAATTGCAAACATGGAGTATTGATGTTGTTATTGTAATCGAAATGTCAAATTTAACCCTTTTAAAAATGAAGGAATTTTCCTCCGGTGGAATTTTGACGAAAAAGTGGCTAGAAGGATCATTTTTGCCCAAAAAACAATAATCGTGAACTAAAATTGCAAGGTTTAAAAGTCGTGGATCAATTCTGATAATACCACTATAGTCGTGGGACCAAAAGTGCAAAAATCTCAAATTCTTTTAATTGTATATTTTTTTGACATATACACAATGTTTGTTACATCCTTAAAAGCTCACCTAAATCTTCAGAGAACCTTATCACCGGACAAGAAACTATAGATGAACATATCTCTAATCCCACCCTTGTTGAACCCATACTTTCTCAAAAAGCCTTCTTTTACAAACCCAATTTTTTCAAGAACCCTTTGAGACCCAAAATTTTCAGGCTCCACCAAAGCCTCCAGCCTCACAAGGAAGGGGAAATCTCTGAACACAACAGGAATGGCCATCTTGAGTGCCATGGTCACAATCCCTTGGCCCCAATAACAAGAGCCAATTGCATAGCCAAGATGGGCTCTGTGCCTATCATTTCCGGCTTCCGGCTTGACTGAAATGTACCCAATTGAACGGCCGTCCAAGCATATGGAGTGCCGCCATGGATGAGGTATGGCGACCTCCTGGATATACTTGAGGGCTTGTTGTTTGGAGGTGATGGGGTTCCATCTGAGAAAATGGGTCACTTTGTCGTCGCTTGCCCATTTCAGGAGGTCGTCGGCATCGGAGAGTTGGAACGCCCGGAGAGAGATTCTTGATGAGTCCATAAATATGCAAAGTGTTCCGTTCTTGGGGCCTGGGGTTTGCTTTGCTTTGCTTTGCTGGGGAAAAGTCTGAGATTTTCTTGAATTCTCGTCAATTATAGCAACAAAATTGAAAACAAACTCAGCTAACAAATAATTTTTAAATTGTTGGGGTGGATTAGATTCTTTTTGTGGTCCATTCTAAATACGAAGCAAGGAGTTCAGAAAATTATTTTCTCAATTTTTATGTGTTTGGCGGCTATCAACAAGAAATACTCATCTATCAATACTATTCCTAAAAACAAAATTCTCCATTTTAACATTTCGCCCAAAATAATCCCTAAAATAATGTAATTTAATTCCTAATAGAATATTATTACTTTCTTATTCTACTATAATTATACATCATTTAAACTAACAGGGTGGCTCAAGTGACAAATGAGCTCTCTTTGTGTGAGAGAATTTTGGGATAACCTGGGTTCAATTCCCACAAGTGACGATTCCCTTTGGGCCAGCTTTGTGCCTCAATGGACAGAGAAAGACATGGACCACAATGTGTGGTTTAGCGGTCAAATTTTTTAATTTTTTCCTTCAGATTTCCTAATTTACTCATTGATTTTAATAAGAAAGGTCTTAGGTTCGAACCACATCCGAATCAAAGTTGACATAATGAGTACTCTATTTTGCTCTTATTAAATTATTATTAAATAATAATTTAGTAGCTACAACAAAATTATGTGTCTACAATGCCTTTATTCAAAAAAAAAAATATTCATTATCAATAAATTAAATAAGAGAAATAATTTCATAAGTTATATTGTCTTTATTTTACTCCAATATAAAAATTCTTTACATTCAAAATTGAAATTCATCAATTGATTATATTCGCTACATTGTCACTACAATGTCTTTATTAAAAAAAAAAATATTTATTATCAATAAATTAATTAAGAGAAAAAATTTCATTAGTTATATTGTCTTTATTTTTCTCCAATGTAAAAATTCTTTACATTCAAATGAATCAATTGATTATATTCACTACATTGTCTATTATCTTTTTTTGTGCACTATGTTTTAATTAAATATCAAAGTTATAATACAAAATAATGCTATATATTTATTTACCAAGTATTTTATTAATACTGACAGGATAATAGGGCTGGCACTTGACCCGGATCATAAGTGGGCATCTGACCCGGCATCACATGGGAACCCAACAGGCAAGACCCCAACGAACAAAACTCCAACGGTTAGGAATTCCAACAGGTGTCACCTTTACTATCATTGAAGCCACCATTGATGAGAGAGAATTAAAGGCTTAGGCTCCCCCATTTATGTCCCATGTTGTTACCGTTAGGACTCTAGTATAAATGTGGCTCTCCTCAGCTAGCAAAGAGGACGTTCAATACTCGAGACAAAGACACATTGTACTTTCTATACTAAGACATTAAGGCAATACAACTATTGTCACTCTTCCACACAGTGTTATTCTAATATTATTATTACCGGTAACATTTTTACCGTCATTGGTGCTTTCATTGAGAGCCTGAGTCCAATACTCAAGCAGGCGACTACATACACAACTCATTCATCTTTCAACAGCAAAGAATGGTGTGCTGCAGCTCCCACGGATCCCGCAACGTGAACAATGGCAATGCCTCAGGTGACCTCCGTGACCAACTCACCAACAATCGCGGAGGGGACCTCCGAGAACTGCTCAACAACGGGAGGCCCGGGGACCTTCGAGACCAACTCAACAATGGAGGGGACCTTCGAGACCAACTCAACAATGGAGGGCCGAACCAAGTTGTGAACCTCCAGGCGACCATTCAGCAAGCAGTGATGGCGGCGCTAAATCAAGTGGCGGTGGGACTGCAAGGCCAAGTGCCTCCGCCGCGGCTCCAGGAAATAAGGGTAGAGACCCAAAGAAATGGACCGGCCAGACGACAACCAGGCCCTTCCCAATCTGCACCAGAACGATTGGGACAGAGGGCGCCCGTGCGGCAAAGATTAGGATCACGGGCCGAGGGGTCCTCTACCAGAGGCCCTCGCCAACACGAAAACAGAGAAGCTGAGAGATCACCCACAGAGGAGGTGGGCGAGTCTCGGGAGCCGACCTCACGCCTACACGTTGATGAGTCGGCCCTACGTCGACACTTGGAGGAGCGACGTGTTGATGAGCCGGCTCCGCGTTGGCACTCGGCGGAGAAGCAACACGCTGAGGAGCGGGTTCGACACCGACACTTAGATGGACGGAACGCCGAGGAACCAGTTCCGCGTCGACACTCAGATAGACGGCACGTCGATGAACTAGCTCCACGCCGATACACGGAGGAGCGGTCCGGCCCCGCGCCGGTACCCTGACGAGTCGGACCTGGTCGAGAGGCTGTAGAGAAGAATCGAGGAGTTAGCAAGAAGGGTGGAGGCACGGGAGCAGTCGTCGGAACCTGAGGTACGGATGTCAGCGCCATTCTCCCCAAGCATCATGGATGTACCTTTGCCGAGGGACTTTAGGTTGCTCGCCATCAAGGAGTACACGGGGGCCACTGACCCACGTGTCCACATGACGAGGTACAAGGCTGCTATGGTAATGATCGGGGCAGGGGACGCCATCATGTTCCGAGCGTTCTTGTCCACCCTGGATGGTGCGACCCAAGACTGGTTCAACACCATCCCGGATGGGTCAATCCAAAATTTTGGGGAGTTGTCCAAGAGCTTCCTGACATACTTCTCCGGTAGCATACAGCGTAAGAAGCCCTTCTCTCACCTCTGTGTAGTGAAGCAAGATAGAGGCGAGAGCCTTAAAGACTTCCTGATAAAATGGAAAAAGGAAGTCAACAATGTCTACGACTTCGACTCCAAGGTGGCGACCCCGATATTTATCCATGCCTTAAGATCAGGGTATTTCCACAAGCAGCTGAACGCCCACCACCCCCGCTCTTACGAAGATCTGATAAGGACGGCTAGCCGCTATGCCGAAGCAGAGGACGTCGACAGGAAGAAAAAGGATGAAGAGGATGGTAGGAAAGGTGGGAAGCCTGGGAAAGTGGGTCCGCCCAGCCAGGCATCACTCTCGAACCACCCGACCGCAGGGAAAGGCCGAGACCACGAACAACCTCGCCTGGTCCCCTTGCGTAATTTAACTCCTCTTACCCATCCCGTCAGTGTCATTCTAAAGCAAGCTGAGGAGATGAGAATGGTAGAATTCCCCGAGGAGTGCATGAAGGTCTCCCCAAAGGCAGACCAAACAAAGTACTGCAGGTCTCATAGGCAAGCCGGCCACGATACGGATGAGTGTCACGTTTTGAAGAGACAAATAGAAGAACTCATCCAACAGGGCTACTTCCGACATTTCGTCAAGCAATCCAAGTAGTAGCAACAGCCGCAACACAATCCACCAAAAAATGTCTGGAGGAATGAGGATGGCACCGAGCCGTCCACCTCGAACGCCAAAAAAAGAGACCACGACCAAATATCTGAGCAGAATGATAGCGAGAAAGAAACCGAGGTGGCGCCCAGACGATAAAAGAAGCACACCATACACTTTATCTATGGTGGACCTGCAGGAGGCAACACGCCCGCGGAAAGAAAGAAGTGGAGCCGGCAGCTATACGTGGGAGAAGTGGTGAGCCTTCCCAGAGAAAAGAAACAGAGACAGGAGGCCATCACCTTCTCTGATGATGAACTCCCAGAGGGCCCGTTACCCCATCGTGACGTCCTGGTGATTGAGATGGACGTCAACGATGTCATTGTCCGCCGCATCTTAGTCGACACGGGAAGCTCAGTCAATGTGATGTATTACGACGCCTTCACCAAGTTAGAGATACCTAGGAAGTACGTACCCCACTCTCTGGATTTACGGGTGATTCAGTGCCGGAGGGGTCAGTGGTCTTACCAGTGGAGATAGGCACGAGCCCTAACATTCGTAAACTTGACGTGGAATTCATCGTGGTAAGACTCACTTGTGCGCACAACATCATATTGGGGAGGCCGGCACTGGAGCACCTCAAGGCCATTGTGTCGGAGGAACATTTGTGTATGAAGTTCCCCACTCTGAAGGGGATAGGAGTCGTCAGAGGAAACCAGCGAGCGGCCCGCAGTTGTTACGTTAAAGCATGCAAAAAGATTGGCAAAAAGGATCTACAAGTCCACATCAACTGCAAGGATGATCAATCGGGTATGGAGCTCGGAACATTTGATTAAGTATTTTCCTTAATATTCTGGTAGTCATTTGGGACTAGTGTTTGGTAATCGCGGTCCGCCCATGTTTTTTCAAAAAAAAAATGGGATCGAGTCGCACGCCTCTGCCATAGGTTGGCCGAGACGTGACTCGACTCGGATGGCCGAGGCACACCACGGCCAAAGGGTGACCGAGGCGTGCCGAGGCACACGCCTCAGCCAAAGGTTGGCCGAGGCACCCGCCTCGGCCACAGTTTGGCCGAGGCACACATCTCGGCCAACGCCGAAGTCCGTCTCGGCAAAAAAAAAAAACGGTCGAAGCCTGCCCTGGTCGAGGCGCACGCCTCAGCCGCGATCCGTCGAGGCAATGCCTCGACGACCGAGGTACACGCCTCAGCCACGATCGTTCTAGGTGACGCCTCGGCCACGATCAGCCGAGGTGCACGCCTCGGCCACGATCAGCCGAGGAGCACGCCTCGGCCACGAGCGGTCGAGGCAACGCCTCGACCACGAGCGGTCGAGGCAACGCCCCGGCCACGATCGGTCGAGGTGACGCCTCGGCACGATCGGTCGAGGCGACGCCTTGGCCAACACCAAAGTCTGTCTCGGCAAACAAAAAAAAAAACAAATAAAAAAAAACAATAGGCCGGAGCCTGCCCCGACCAGCGATCGGTCGAGGCGACGCCTCGACAACCGAGGTGCACGCCTCGGCCAATATCAGCTGAGGCGCACGCCTCGGCCATGAGCGGTCGAGGCGACGCCTTGGCCACGATCGGTTAAGGCAACGCCCCGGCCACGAGCGGTCGAGGCACCTCAGCCACGGTCGGCCGAGGCGTGCGTCGGTCGAGGCGAAGCCTCGGCCGCGATCGGTTGAGCCGACGCCTCGGCCACGATTGGCCGGAGGCATGCACCTCTGCCCACCTAGGCCAAAGCCTGTCTCGGCCAGCATAAAAATTAAAATAAAATCATATGTGATTTGTAAAATAAAATCACATACTCAGGATCAACCGGTATTCTGCACGATATCAAGCAAATTCAGTCTTACCCCCTAGTCAACTCAAACACATCCGTTGACTCAGGAGTAGGGGGGACTGCTGACAGGATAATAGGGCTGGCACTTGACCCGGATCATAAGTGGGCATCTGACCCGGCATCACATGGGACCCCAACAGGCAAGACCCCAACGGACAAAACTCAAACGGTTAGGAATTCCAACAGGTCACCTTTACTATCATTGAAGCCACCATTGATGAGAGGGAATTAAAGGCTTAGGCTCCCCCATTTATGTCCCATGTTGTTACCGTTAGGACTCTAGTATAAATGTGGCTCTCCTCAGCTAGCAAAGAGGACGTTCAATACTCGAGACAAAGACACATTGTACTTTCTATACTAAGACACTAAGGCAATACAACTATTGTCACTCTTTCACACAGTGTTATTCTAATATTATTATTACCAGCAACATTTTTACCGTCAAATACCATGAAAAAATTTTAAAAATTTAAATTAATAAAGTCAATTATATTAACTACTTGAGCGATTTGTTGACAAAGAAAGTATTCAAATCACACAACAAATTGAAGTGAGAAACTACCTCGCAATATCCTTGTTTGACAATCAGCAGTTAGCGGTTAGCGTTAGCGAATTATGAATTACATATTTAAATAAACAAATTAGACATTAAATTACTTATGTTGAACTTGTCATATATAATATTGCATTTATATACTTTCAAATATTTATTTAATTATAAACATTGGGTAGAAAAAATGACCGTCAAATTATTAAATCAAATGAATAGTTCAGATTGTTCAGATTTTAATTTTTCCTTAGAGATTTTTTAATTTATCCTTAATTATATGATTATCCGATCCGTTAACTTTTCCATTAAGTACCGTTAATTCACCGTTAGTCTAATTCTAATATTAAAGTCTAATATAGAATTATAACTACAACATTAATCTAATTCTAATATTAAAGTCTTAATAGAACTAAAACCAACGAAATCTCCTCAAACAATATTAGTATATATTTAATATTTTATGCTTTAATTTTTATTTGCTATCCCTTATGTCCCGTATTTGGTTTCAACCATACTCATACAATTATTTTATTAACAATTATAATCAATCTTGACTATATTATATTGCATTTTTGTAAACTTAAGGGGGTGTATTCAATCATGACTTTTGTAGAATTTTAAAGACTTTTAAAATGATAGATTTTAATAAACTTTAAATGACTTTTATAGAGTCGTTCAAAACTTTTTAAAACTTTATAAGACTCTATAAAAGTCTATATAAAAAATATTCATAGACTTTTATCAACTTTTTATTTTAAAAAGTCTACAAATGTCATTGAAATTCTAAATTGAATACATCCTTACAAACTTTCAATGATTTTGATTCTTATCATGTTTTGGAGGATTCGTGGCTGCAATGAGAATTGGGTCAATGATTTGAGCCACTCCTTGCATAAACCTGATTTTTCCTATGAATATGGGAAAAATTGGGGGTTATTGATGTTTTGTATTCTTGAAGAACTTGTAGTTGATTCACCACGAGAGTGGGGCAATTCCTTGTTCTAATCCTTGTTAATTTGCTCATGTGAGTGACATATAGACTAGGACTCCTACGTGCATCCCCTCAATCCCTTGGTTGTGTGATTTCCCCTAATCCTTAGGTAGTGTTATGCATTTAGAAGATAATACTCCCTAGCTTGAGTCCTATTTCTTTGTTTAGTGTTTATATCTTTGTTAATATGTGTTTATGTTACTTTGTTTAGTTACCGTAACATTGAAACTTGTTATTTACTTAGCTTCTTGTTGATTTCCTTATGCTAGTGCCTAGTTGCTTGTGATTGCCTGAAGACATCATTTCACACCCGTACACTCACCATCACTCATTTTTTATTGTACGGCCCATGCTCTTTTGGTTTATCGATTTGAACAATAGGTTTGATGAAAAAGCAATGAAGTTAATTATTCTCATATCACCGCTAGATCCAAAGAAATGTGTATATTATTCAGAATTGATGACATAAGTTGGTAGAGAAGTTTAACCACGAGACTTTGCAGATTCTGAGATTTTACACTTGAGAATGCAACTTGAACATTTTGAACATGTGCAACAACTTCTTGATTTTAGAAGACTAGAAAGTATTTCTGATTTATGCCAATGGCTAGTGAAAAGTAAAAGATGGAATAAGGGTCGTCGCTATGCAAGTCTGCCCAGGAACGGCACACAGGGCCCCTTAATTAAAAAACAAAAAAACAAAAAAACATAGTATATATATTAGGCATGTTGGGCTTCAACATGGAAGACTACGAACAAAGGTTACAAAGCCCAAAGCCAATAAACCTTTCTTCAAAAAAAAAAAAAAAAAAAAAAAAAACAAAGCCGACATACACTATGAGTCTATAACACAAACCTATTAAATATTAGCCTAATCTAAAGACTAAAGTACGACTATTAAACACTATGGGTCCATTCTAAATAGGAAGCAAGGACTTTAGAGAATCATTTTCTGAAATTTTATGTGTTTGGCGGCTATCAACCAGAAATACTCATTTTGTTTAATGGTAAAACTAGTATTGCACCAGTGCGATGCACGGGATGAAAATTAAACTACATTATAAATAACATTTGAATTAATAACACACATAAAATTTTGCAGTACAAAAATGCGAAATATGCAGTACAAAAAGGTTCAAAACAATAGTAAATATAACTAAGGATGTGTTTGGTTCGCACATAGGAATCGGAATTGGAATGGGTATCAAATACTTGGTAATGGTAATGGGTTTTGGTGAAAGTATTTAACATGTTTGGTAGTAGGGTGGAATGGGAATGGTTACTAATAGTAGTGCTTAATAATGAATAAGGGAATGAAACCCTTATTTTATTTGGGTATGGATTTTTCAATTGATGGGGTATTCGAAACCCATAGTAGTGTTCTAAAAATCTATCAACCAAACAACAACAATCACTTTCATACCCATTCCTATGGGCAAAACCCACCAACCAAACACACCCTAAGTTATAAACATTGGAATAATTATATATACTGAATTACAAATTTTTAAAAACCCCGTGATACACAATATTTACAGTTGGAGAAGAATACTCTCCATTCTCACTTAAAACAACCACTTTAAAACCATTTGGATTGTTAACTCTAGACAAAGCCACATACAATTGTCCATGCACAAAAACAGGTTTTTTCAGAAGTAAGCCAACATTTGTAAGACTTTGTCCTTGACTCTTATTTATTGTCATTGCATATGACAACATTAAAGGTAACTACCTCCTTTGGAACTTAAATGGCAATCGAGGATCAGACGGTGTCAACAATCTTGGAATTAAAACTCGTGTACCCATACAACTTCCTGACATCACTTTCGCTTCAACAACATGATCTCCCAATTTAGTAATGTCTAATCTCATACCATTACACAAGCTAAGAGTGTAGTCAATGTTTCGCAACAACATAACTGGAGATCCAACTTGCAACATAAGACAATGATTTGGAATACCCAAGCATTTCAACGTGTTAAGAAACTCTGTAGTATGTAAACCAGCTAAAGTGTCGACACCAGAATTTGATTGACAAACAGAATCAGAACTGAAATAAGTTATAATAGCTGTCGGATTCAAGCCACTCATGTAATCATTGATTTCATGCACTAAATCCAGAGTTGGAGCCAAAATAGCTCAACCATTAAGAGATTCCATATCAAAATTACCTGAGCAAAATTCCGGGAACGTACTATTTACTATGGCTGATATCGAATCTCGATGTGGCCGGAATACATTTTGTTCCGGAATATTTATTACTGCACACCCATCATTTGGTCCACCAATCAAACCATCACCTATACCAGCTATCCACTTTGAAAATGAATTGATATCTTCAGCACTGTCATCATTTCCCAATCTTTGTAATCTCAAATTCTTAGTCAATCTTAGCACCTTACAATTTTGCCAGAGATAAGATGAATTGATGCTTGCTCCAACAATATCTTTTCTTGTTCCCTTAGGAATCACAGGCAGTATTTGTCGAAAATCACCACCAAGAACCACTGTTTTTCCTCCAAATGTCATTTCTGTACTCAAAGGATTCACAAACCGTAATAAATCTCTCATGGTTCGGTCTAAAGCCTCAAAGCAATGTTTATGCATCATCGGGGCTTCATCCAAAATAATAAGTTTGGAGTTTATAATTAGATTAGCCAAGTCATTCCCTTGAGAGATGTTACATGTAGAATCTTCAGTTATATTAATAGGTATAGCAAATCGGGAATGAGCAGTTCGACCACCTGGCAAAAGTAGAGAAGCAATACCACTCGAGGCAACATTTAAGACGATGTGACCTTCAAAACGCAGAGCAGCTGATAATGTTTTCCAAACAAAGGTTTTACCAGTTCCTCCGTACCCATAAACAAAAAACAAACCACCCCCAGCATTCGCAACATCACTAAGAACTATGTCATAGACATGTCTCTGTTCATCTGTCAATTTCTCTACCAAATTATCATGTTCAACTTTAAGAGCATCACAATCATATAACAATTCTTCATCTAACAACTGATTTCCATGAGGAACTCATATTTGACACAGGCATAGATGGAAAGCAAGACATACGTTTTCCCAATACATGTAAAAGCTTTTCAATTTCCACCAAAGCATAGTTAGTCTTTTCTTCATCTATTAGGATTAGACCTAAAAGGAAAATAAAATCGGAATGGTACTTACATCTGACGATCCAATACAGCACAATCATGTTAATAAAATGTATGTATTTAAGCTACAAAAGAATATAAAAAATAAAAAATAATAAAAAAAAAAAACCTGGTTTATCTAGTAGTTTCCGTTGGTTGAACTCCGCATCTTCAGCTAAGAGTATCCATACTGCCTCTCAAACAACTTCTGGTCGAATAAGAACGTTTGAAGTAAGCATAGTCACAAATAGTCTCCTCATAGAAGTTGCAGATGCCCATTTACTTGTTTCATTAATCGCATCAACATATTCCTTGTCATCTGCTAATAAACCACGGGCACAACATGCATCTCGAAATGAACTATATTGCACCCCCTCAACAATACAAAGATCTTCATAACATGTTTCACCACGAACCAAGTTCAACAAACACCTTAGATAATAAATTTCACCAGAACCTGGCGGAACAAAGAACATACGTCCAATAGCAAACCCCTTACGTCTAAGATGCCACTCTCTAACATCCTTTTTCCAAACAAATTTGTTGGGCATCTGACCATAAGTTAACTCTTTAGCTTCTGCAAACTTTTTTTTAGCTTCAAACCAAGCTAAAAACATACTTTCTCCAACACTCGGGCGACTCAAAATATTATCAACACAATCATCATCATCGCCATAAACAACTAATTGTTGATTAGGCAAATGGAAACTCAACCTCTCAACTGCAGGAACTCTGAATTGAATGTCAAATCCGAATAAACGCCATGTTCCTTCGCAAGCAGATATGTAACGACAATCATAGAACATAGATATCTCATCTACAACTTGACCTTCTCTAAATCATCGGAACTTTAGTAGAAATGAGCTGTAACTTGATCATGCCCCTTGTTGACATACTTAAATAAGTACTTGATAGAACGGGACTGGTTACACCACTCAATATTGATATGTGCTCTATATTTAAGCAACAAATATTTGTTATGTGGTACAACAAATCTGTTATCCAACTCAATTCCATTTTTCTTAACAAACCTTCCATCATCTCTTCGTCTGTAAATAGGATAACCATCTTGATCAAAATTTGAAGAGTCTACAAACTTCTTTGGAAAATGTTTAGAACAACGACCATTGACCATACACGGAGAATTCTTCCTAAGATGACCACAAAGACCGTGAATCATAAACTCCTCAACAACCTTATAATACTCACTATCTACTTCCTTATTTGGAATTTCAGCTGAAATGATAGTATCAATATTTTGACATAAAGCTTGACCATCTTCTTGGCCCAGAAATATCAATATATGGGCATGCGGAAGTCCTCTTTTTTGGAACTCAACAGTATAAATAACTACATAAAGAAGTATTAAAATACAAATTAAAAATAAGATAAGAATGATTCTCATGTATATGTAGAAAAAGTAAAATACGTACCTGCAGTTACATTACCAAAAACTAATCCAGAATGGATCTCCCTAATCAACGCATCCAATTTCATTTTAAATAAGCGACATATGATATCAGGTCGATCGACAGCACTCAAATGTCGCTCTCCCAAATACCTCTCTATTTCAGGCCACTTTGGATTACATGTAAATGTAATAAATAAATTAGGATAACCAATCCATCCACAAATCACCAAGGCATCTTGATAGTTTTGAATCATATACCTAGCCCCACCATTAAAGCTAGAAGGAAGAATAACTCGTTTACCATGACGATCGGGCTCAACATCACCTCGTGTTAATGCATCAGACAATCCCTGATAAGCTCCACACCTTAAAGATTTTTGATTGGTGCGAATATACAATAATCGACCAGCTTCAACCATGGTGTAACCATCGACCAGAAATTGTTGAAATAATCTCCGAGCATATAAAATTGTTGAAACTTCTGATAAACGCTCATGAATACAAAAAGTAAGATACTCGCGAGGTGAAATACGTTGTCTAGATCCATTTTCAACTACTCGAACAATGTTGAAGCCAATACCTCCCTATAACCATCTTCACCATACGGAAACAACAATGGATACTGTAGTGGAAGATAAGCTGGATTGAGTTCACTAATCCTCTTCAACAATCCAGATTTTGTTTCCACTAATATATCTCACTCACCGAGATGCGCATCCAAGTCCCCAACAATAAGTGCAGCAACTTCAGAGACTGTGGGCAAATTATATGTACGGGCATCTCTGCTACGCTTCCCAATCAACTTCATTTTAACTTCTACTCTTGGATTTGACTGGATTGCTTCTTTCGCCATTCGAAATGACTTAACCAAAACATTGCAATAATCTAAAATAGCTTGGATATCAGCAACAATTTGAGGGTGTAAATCTTGTACATCACTTTCATTCCTTCAAAATTATAAAATTTGCAAAGTAAAATGAATTTTAAAAGTTGATTAAACAAATATATTATAAAAATATAGGAAACAATTAGTATACATACCTGACAACACTAATTCTATTCATAACTTCATTTTCATAGTCATGAATGTATAGCTGTGCGAATTTGGCTGAATTACCTCCAATGGGTAATAATCTCCCCATCAAATGAAAATTCTGACCGTTCAAGCGAAAGATTGGCGGAGATGATCCAGAATTTATTTGTTTATCAATTCGACCACCCATTGATGTAAAACTGAACATATTATTGTAAGATCGTATATTCTGCAAGAAATTTTTACTTCTACGATCGCCACTAAAAAACAAATTAGATATCATCTTGGGCGGAGGAATGATAGGTGCCAATTTAATTTTTCCGTTACCACAACATATGGAATATTTAGGCAAACTATTCACCTTTACACTCTTTAATCTCTCATCATAACAAAACAATGTATCACAATGTTGACACTTAAAAGTCGGATCGCCATTGTCTAAATACACGCCTACAAAAAAAAAATGTTCACAAAAAATGTACTTATATAAATACATGAACTTTTTTTTAGAACTTTAAGCTACCAAAGGTATACAGTAGCTTTAACAATTTGTATCCAATTGATGGTCCTACAATAGCTTTTCGCTTATTTTGGACAGGTTGTCTACATACAATTGATGGTCCTATTGATAGTTTAATCTATTACTATAAGAATAAAATAAAACACTATATTATAATGTAGAATTAGGAAAAAAATGCAAAAAATACCTACATCAGTTAAATTTGTTTTCCTTCGGCTTGAACCACAAACAATATTCAATACGATTTTAGAATTATTAGCAATGTCGACTGTATGATTACACACCAAACAAATCAAGTCACAATATAAATTTACCTAACATTTAATATAACATTTTTAAAGAAAAAAAAATAAATTACCCGCTTCGGTGCTAGTACTCTCAATATGCCTATTCAAACATTCAACATTAGAAGATATCGTAGTATTGATTTGATTGCCTACATTAAAGAAAATATATTTTAAAAAAATTAAAAAAGACAACATTTAATTTAAAATGTGATAAATTTGTAGCACTTACAATTTGTTAATACACTCAAAGTCGTATAAAGAGAATTTTCAAACACCCCCAAAAAGCATGATTTCTGTGCCTGAATCCCAATCCGATCGATCCTTTGCGTTGTTAGTTGCTCAGGAGTTAAACTATCCGCATTCTCTAACAAAAATTCAAGATGAAATTTTTAACAATTTTTTGATTCCCAAAATGAAAATTTTAAAAATATTTTCAAATTCATTATATCAAATAGACAAAATCCTTACTTGTAACATTATTTAACGTAATATTTAATTGGACAAAAGGGGAAAAAGTGTCAAAATGCTTTAAAATATATTATTATGATAAAGTCATTGCAAATTTCGAGATGCACAATTTATAAATACAAATATATTGAAGACAACTCAATAAAAAAATCACCTATTTAATAAATATATTAACAAAAAAATAAAAAGAATTCACACATTAGAACATAGGAATAACAAAAAAAAGTAATTTTAATACCAATAATGATAAAAATAATTAGAATATTTTCATTAACAATAACAATATTATGAATAATAATATTAATAATTAATAATGAATAATAATAATAATGTAATACTATTAATCATAACAACAAATACAGGAATAAAAAGATCTAATAACAATAGTAACAATAATAACAATAACAACAATAACAATAACAACAATAACAATAATAACAATAACAATAACAATAACAATAACAATAACAATAATAATAATAATAATAATAATAATAATAATAACAACAACAACAACAACAACAACAACAACAATAATAATAATAACAATAATAATAATGGGCCGAAACCCATCTAACCTACCCAACCCAAAACCTAACCAAAGCCCACATATTTAACCTTTCTTACCCAACCCAAAGCATAACTCCAGAACTCCCTCTCGCTCTACCTCCCTCTGCCTCGCTCTGTCCTCTCCTTCGTGATTCACCGTCTCATTCGCGACACCAGTACCATTCGCTATTCACGAACCCTAAATCATTCACGAAATAGAAGCCAACTACCTCTATTCTCTTCAATCCTTCAAGTTTCATCCTCTAAACCATGAAAACCTCTCGTCCTTGATGAATTAATCCAAAAATCGAAACCATAAATCGGAAGAAGTTCAAGCAAATCGTCTACTTTTGAAGCTTAAACTGGATCAGATATTTCAGGAAACAATTTTCTCACAGCAGTAAGTTTTAATTGCTATTTGCTCTAAAATCTATTAATTTATTTATATACTCCTGAAACCCTAATTTCTATGTATGCAGATGTACGTAGCTAAGCCCAGAAAGGAACAAATACACATTAATCAACAGTATCGAAGCCTAAAAATTCCAAAAAAAATATATATGCAGAGAAATCTACGAAAAAGATAAGTCTATTTTAATTTTTTATATTTCTCATATATATTTTTTCTTCTGTTCTATAAATTATTGTTACAAAAATCTTTGACTAAGTGTTGATTCATTTCTTATATATTAATGATATGAACCCTACCTGATTTATTTTAGATAAACGCAACTAAGCCTAAGAAGAAAAAATTATGTGAGTGAAGAAAACCAAGTTGACAGTACTCTTGGAAAACAGAACTAAACTACACATCTTCAACAGATAAGTCTAATTTGCATCTAGTACAATTTTTGGACTATTTTTATTTCCTTTAGCAATATAATTATTAATTCCTTTACTTGTTTAGGCATTAATTGATGTTATTGTGAGTATTTATATGAAACTTGTATTTATAAAGTATAGTGTAATATAAAATGCTTTCATATCTTTGTTTGAAATCCCATACTTTCTCTTGCAACCAATCGTAGTAGATTTTTCTAACTTTCTCATGTTTGTTTAAGCTGATGCTTTGCATGAACAGTTACAGAGAACCTGCAGTTTGAAAGTATCTTCCAAGTGTTGGATCTTTATTTATAGTGGCAATAGCATTTGATTACCCTAGCACAACACTGATGAATACTTATAAATGATTACTATTTTATAGCCTTTTGTTAGATTTGAATTTCATTTTTATTGGGAATGTAGTAGTGTACTGATACTTGATTTTATTTTCCCCATATTGTTTAATTGGTTATTAGTTTATAAGATCAAATTTTGGCTTGATCTTCATACATGATTTTCTGCATTTATCATTTTTAAATGAGTTTACAGATTAATAATATCACATGTCAAACTCATGACATAAATTGAGTATCGTATTTCATCTGCCATACATTATACCTTTGTTCATCTATAAACTCATTGATTTTTATTACGAATCCAAAGTGCAGTCGTTATCTGATTTGGATTTCTCCATAATGGTTAATTAGTTGTTAGTTTTTAATTTCAAAATTTTACTTCATTGATAACATTGATCAAAGCATTTTTTTTTTGGGCAAATGAGCCTAAAAATTATATAATCCCTGGTTTCAACTGTAAATCCCTACCTAAACTCTTTCATACTATCATTCTAACCTAGTTTTATTCCTTCACCCTAAAATATGTTTTTTTTTTCTTTTTACTTATAGCTTAAAACTTTTTTTTTACATAAATTATTGAGTTTGAATGTATAACACATGTACTAAGTTTGGTTAAATAAATAGTATTAAAGGTTCCACAGATACTTTTAATACAACACTAAGTTAGAATTCCATCACTCTAGCTTAGATCTGTAACTCATGGTTATTAGTGTACTAAAAAACTAACTTAGAACCTTTTGTCAAACCTGGAATACTTTATGTCATCACTCCAGCTTAGATCTGTAACCTTTTGTCATACTCTTACTGAAATCTGTTTACTAATTGAGTAAATTTAACTTGTATTCTTATTTGATAAGTTCATGTCAACTTAACTTATTAAGTACCTATATTTTTACTTGATAAGTTGTAATTTAGTATACAGATAGCCAACCTTTTTTTTATAAGTAGTTAGACATTAATAGTTCATCTTTGCAGTTGTTTTCATATACAAAGAGGCCTGGATCTGGATCTGAATATAACAAAACAGTTGGCATGAAATAGTAGGCAAGATTCAATAGGTAAGTTTCTTTTCAAATAATCCAAAAGATTTTACATTTACTTATAGATGTTATAACTTCATTAATATGTATTTAATTATCTCATTCCAGATAAAGTTATCAAATGAAGATAGAAGTCCTAACGCATCATAACATGAAAAGGTATGTACAACTAAAACCACCTCATTAGTTAGTACTATATAAACTGGAAACATAAATATAATAAACTTGACCATAGAAGTACCAAACAAAAATAAGTAGACATAATATTCATATTGTCCATAGAGTCCCAAAACATAAGACAGAATTTAAAAGTAGTACATAGACTGACCCCATTAGGGAAACATTACAAAACATAGCATAGAAACCGCAAAAGCATTACATTTTTTCCAACTTATAGACTGGAGTATTAAGTCTATTAGAGTAGTCAAGCTGATTGAATTCACCCATTAGAGACCTCTTCAGTGTGCTAAATAGAAACCGCAATCGCATTACATTTTTTCCAACTTAATCACCGAAGTCTTAAGTCTCTTAAAGTCATCAAACTGATTGAATTCATCCATTAGAGACCTCTTCAGTGTGCTTGCAACATTTCCAGATGAACCCCCCTCATCAAATCCAACCATTTCAAAATCACCAAAGTCATCCAGGGCAAATGAGTCCTAAAAAAAAAAAATTGAATAATACACATAGTGTTATTCAGTTTTATAAAGAAGAAAACAGTCTAAATAGGAAAATAGTTAAACCTCATGGGTTTGTTCTGTTGCATCTACATCACAGTCTATAATCCCACAGTGTTTTGAAACAATGTCAGCTTGTCCTACAGAACCCTAACACCCCAAATGCAGAGCTCAGACTGTCCACTTGATCTTTCTTCATAGAAATACTAAATAGTATAGGCATCCTACAAATAGACTGCAACTCAGGTGGGATCCAACCTTTTGCATTCTGAATAAAAAAAAAAAAAAACAAAACATAATTTTTATTAGGAAATAAACATAGGAACGTCTATAGCATTCCCAATCCCAAATTAGATTAGAAAAATCATTCTCACCTCAGCATACTTCTCTCTTAAGGATGAAGCTGAAATACCAACCAAATCATAGCATTCCTTATCCCAAATGAGCATAGGTGCTTCACATGTACTGCCCGTTACACGAACAACCACCTTATACTTGACATCCCCCTCATGCCAGCTACGGTCACACTTAGAGCAGTACATCATACCTTCTCTTGGAGTTAGCTTTTTCCCACAGTTAGTTCCCTTACAGGACATGTAATACCAACCATCTGAACTGTCAACATCCATAATCCTAACAGTCACCCAATACTCACAGAGCTGTGTAATGGCAAAAAAGAAGTTAGTAAGCCAATCTGGAAAAAAAAATAATTTATTACCTCCTTCCTGTTGTAAATCTCACTTAGAGAAGTTACGACAATATCATCACTCAGAGTCTTACGATTTGGCCTAAATCTAGGTAGTCTAGAGCTTGAGTCCAACTTTCTTAAAGGAGTTCTGTCAGATGACAGACTGGAATAGAAGGAATAAAAGTAAACAGATTCAATTAAGAACTGTGGAATTTAAAATGACGCAATCATTATTGTGTGGACCATGGTTCACACAAGCTGTGGGGACCATATTTTGTATACTGTAAAATAATGTATATTCAGTACAAAAATAATGTACATTGTATTCAGGGGATGTATATTATTTATGTACTAAGCGTACATTATATTGTATAATGTACATTTAATATATTAAAAATGCATTTTTTTGTTATGGTCCATACAACACTGTGTGGGCCATGTTCCACACAAGAATTTGCCAAAATGACGTTGCTTTACAAAATAGATTATGCATCGAACTTCTAAACAACGTCGTTTTGTTTAATGAAAAAAGAAACAGCACCCGTTCCGCGTTGTTTCGCAAAAAGTAACTCTGATATTCAGTTTCGTTCTGTATATACTGCACTTTCATTTCGATATAATTACAATTTCATTTCAATATAACTACAGTTTCATTCGATATTATAACACTCAAATATGTGAAAATGTTATTTTATTTTAGAGCAAAATTACACTTTTAGTCCTATGACTATATGGGACGTGTTAATTTCGGTCCGTGACTTTTAAAATTAACAATTTAGTCCTTTAACTATATTTTTTTAGCAGGTTTGGTCCTCCCGACCAAATCACCGGTGAAAATTGGTCGAAAAATCTTAAATCTTTTTAAATTTTTGATTCATGAGGACAAAATAATCTTTTTACATAGCTACTTCTTCTTCGCGTAGCTCATAGTTTTCCAGCCACCATTAATGATTATCTTAAATTTAATTATAGAATTAATTGGTGCTAGGTTCAGAACGAATTATAAAAATCTTTGGCTTAACTCGACCGATAATCCAAAACATTAAAAAATTTATTTTTTTCTTACAATTTCTTTAGTTTAAATTTATTACATTTATCAAACCGATTCAAATATGGATTAGACTAGGCCGAACTAAATAATAAAAATATTGACTCATCCCATGACTCAAAAAAAAAATAAAAATGAAACATTGTTCTTTGCAATTTTTTAGTTAAGAGTCATTAAATATGAGTCTAGCCAAACTAAGGGGATGTATTCAATCATGATTTTCATAGAATTTTAAAAATTTTTATGAACTCTAAAAGTTTGGAGATATTCGATTCAATCTTTTAGGGAGTCTTTAAAGTCGGGCGGTATTCAATCAAGATTGTTAAAGAGTCTTTAAAAGTCGGGTGGTATTAAATTAAAATTTTTAAAGAGTCTTTAAAAGTCATGCGGTATTCAAAAAGTTATGAACTTTTGTAGACTTTTTAATTTTAGAACTTTTGTAGACTTTTCCTTCTCAAATATAAATAGTTGAAATCCAACCATCAACCCCAAAATTTCAAAATTTTCTTTCTACCAATTCTGAATAGTTCTCTCTCTATTTAAACTCTATTTTTTTTTCTCTCTATTCAAACTTTATAAATCTATCTAAATTCAATAAAATTATTTTTATTGAAGAAAATATACTAAACTCTACTAATTTTTTCTCTCTTCTAAACTTTACAATCTTCCTCTAAAAATTTGAAATAATATTATTTTTACTTCATTATTACTTGTTTATTTTTTATTTTTATTCTTTTAATGTTTATGTTCGTAATATTTTTTTTTAACAATAGGTTACTACGAATAGCGAACTACTGTTCACAACAACAATTTGGGGCTGCAAACAGTAACACCTTATTGTTGTTCACAGTCCCAAATTGCTATTATTGTAAATAATAGTTTTTTGTTTGATGCCTAGCAATATACAAAGTATAATTTTTTTTATATACATATTATTAATATTATATTTTTTATGCAACTTGTAATTATATTTTTAAATATTTATTTGATCAAGTCTTTTACTATAAATTTTAGTGTTCAATATTGTTATGAATTTCTAATGAAATAATTTTTGTTTATTGATGCGTTATTAATAATATATAAGTAATTAGCATATAAGTCTTAGTATACTATGGATAAAAATAATAATGTTGAGAATGTTGATGTGGGTGAAGAATTATATAATAATAAGAAGAATTTTATGATATATTATAATATGTTTTGTAAGAAAATTATAAATGATAAGAATCCAAATCATTGAAAGTTTGTAGGGATGTATTCAATTTAGACTTTTAATAATGACTTTTGTAGATTTTTTTAAATAAAAAGTTGATACAAATTTATGAATGTTTTTTATAGAGACTTTTATAGAGTTATAAAGTTTGAAAGACTCTATGAAAGTCAATAAAAATCTACAAAAGTCATGATTGAATACATCCTCTAAACCAAAAAAAAAATAATAATAATAAATAAAATAAATAAAAAATCTTGATCCAGTTCGGCCTACATCCAAAAAATAAAATTTTATTTAATTTCTTTAGTTCATAATTATTATCAGTCGTTATATCGTGAACCGCGGTCAAAACGGCACCGTTTCTTTAAGTAAAAAAATAGCGAGACGTTACTGTTAACGAAGCGCGCATCTTTTTGTCTGTTAATTACCAACTAACACTACAGTGTATCTAAACCGACACTGCCTCACATATTGTTTTATATATTATCAAATGAAACTGCAGTTATATAAAAATGATACTGTAGTTGTGGTGAAATGAAACTGCAATGTATATAAAATGAAACTGAATAACATTTCACATATTTGAGTGTATATTGTACAATGAAGCTGTAGTTATATTGAAATGATCACGTAATTGTGTTTTAATGAAACTATAGTGTATATAAAATAAAATAAAATAACATTTTCACATATTTAAGTGTATAAATATCGAATGAAACTTTAGTTATATCCAGGGACGGAGCCAGAAATTCTGTTGAGGGGGGGGGGGGGGGGGGGGGGGGGGGGGCGAAAAAGTAGGGAAAGATTCAGAAATTTTTTTTCAGTAAAGACGAAACATTAAAACAAAAGAGATAATTTTTTTTTAAAAAATAAACACATCTCATTATTAATATAAAAGAATGTTATATATATGTGTGTGTGTGTATTAAATATTAAACAGCTATTAAAAATGTGACTGTGTTAAAACCATAGGGAATGAGTCAAAAAAACTGTTGAAGCCAACTATAAAAAAAATATGTCAATGCCAAGATTTGAACCTTTATTTTTTATCATAACTCAACATGTGCTCAACCAACTTATCTAAATCAACTCTTATTAACATTTAATAGTTTTATTTTACTAATACTAACACATATACTATATATACATACAAAAATTATATATGGGATGGGGGTGGGGTGAGGGGGGGCAGCTGACCCCTCTGCCCCCTCTCCCCCCCCCCCCCCTTTGGCTCCGTCCCTGATTATATCGAAATGAAACTGTAGTTATGTTGAACTGAAACTGCAGTGTGTACAAAATGAAATTGAATAACAGAGTTACTTTTTGCGGAACGGTGCGAAACGGAACGGGTGTCGTTTCTTTTCATTAAACAAAACGACGTTGTTTTGAAGCTCGGTGCATAATCGATTATGCACCGCGGTGCACGATATAATTTGCCAATTATTATATATATCAATCTATGCATTTTTTTTTTATCATAAGAAGTTACAAGTTAAAAATTACTGTATTTAGTTACATTTTTATTATAATTATTATTAACCTTTATAACTGTTGCAAATTTTATTTCAATATAAATAATTATTATCATCATTAAAATAATTAATATTTTACAAGAAATATTTTTGTAATAGATTTAGGGAAAATTACATTTTCCCTCCTTAGTTATATGCTTGTAGGTTGTAGCACTTTCTTTCCTTTAGTTATTCGTCCTGAGTATCCTTCTTAGGTTCTCTTGATCTAGTTATTTTCTTGGGCCCTTTTTGATTTATTGGTTCGACCGCCTGCCTTGAGGGCAATTCAATCGGTCAATCTAGTATATCATCCATCATAAAATCTCTCACTTTCACGAAGTCAATATCTCACTAATATAATAATGATTGGATTTATTTTTATTCTAGTAAAGAATGAGCTTTCTAGCCCCAATATAATAAGGATTCCCAATATGAATCACTTTAGGACTCTTATCTCTTGACACTCAACCTAAACTTGTATAAATAGACCCTTATACATGGGTAGAAAAAGAAAGTAATTGTGATTAATACTATCTAATTATTCTCTCTATATTTTTCATTTCCTCGTAATTAAAAGAAACCGCATCTAAACAGGGCCTAGTTTGAAGTTCGATAGGCCCAATATTACTGTGTTAAGGCTCATACCGTAAGTATCAACAGCAGCGCTCAGTTCTCCATAGTCACAGTTATCGCCCCTGCCTGCCAAAGCTCTGCCATGGATCCTCTGATGCTCCTCCGCGAGTACACAATCCGGAACGAGCTCGATCGTATATCTCGAGTCGGCGAAGAGTACCGATTTGGGAATGATTACTCCTTTCCCGGGACAATCGAGACTGGTTACCGTTCGAAGCAGGGGAACCGCTATACTCTCGAAACCCTAGTCCATTTCATCACTAACCCTAACCTCAAGCACACCGACTACATCCAGCAAGCCCGCTCCAATCGAATCCACCCGGTCACTCTCCCAGACCGGAAACCCCTTCTCGATTACCTCACCGGAAAAATCTCATCCTCGGATTCCATCGAGTTCATCAAATACGACGCGGCTTCTGTTCCCGCGGCCCCAGCCATCGCCGGCGCTGCAACTGAGAGCAATGGTAATGCGTACGTCGAGGGTAATGTGATGCCTGATGCTGGGGTTCTGGAGAACCAAAGCCCTATTGAAATGATTCGAGCGATGGAGAAGCCGTTGAGGGATCGGGAGTCAATTTTGCTGTGCAGGAACCGAGATTTCTATACTGTTTTGACTGCGGCAGTGCGGAGGGACGAGGAGAGGCAGAGGGCGGAGGCGTTGCAGAGGAAAGATGGATTGGTGGCGAAAAGTCGGTTGGAGAGAGGGATAGGGTATGGGGGTGGTGAGGATATGGGCTATGATGGAGCTACGAAGACGAAAATGCATTTGAAGGGAAGTAAGATTGGGGAGGGAGTGCCGATTATTCTGGTTCCTAGTGCGTTTTCCACTTTGATTACTATATACAATGTGAAAGAGTTTTTGGAGGATGGAGTGTATATCCCTACGGATGTGAAGTTGAAGCAGATGAATGGTCAGAAGCCAGAGTGTGTGACTGTGCAAAAGAAGTTCAGTAGAGATAGGGTTGTCACAGCCTATGAGGTCAGGGACAAGCCATCTGCATTAAAGACTGAAGACTGGGATCGAGTGGTGGCTGTTTTTGTGCTGGGGAAGGAGTGGCAGTTCAAAGATTGGCCTTTTAAGGACCATGTTGAGATCTTTAACAAGAGTAAGTTCTGAAGGCCTTGCATTTACTTTATGCAAGTTAATTGATTATGAATCATGCAATGGAATTTTTAAGCCCCAGAAAAGTTTGAAGTGCTGCTTAAATTGATCTTATTTATTCTAAATTCTTGAAAAATTGGACTTTTCATAATGTAGAATTACTATGCACTGTCATAGTTTCAATTCCTCCAATACTGGAGTTCATGTTGGCACAGGTCTTGATTATCTAAGAGCAGTTAGTAAGAAAATCTTCAGTTATCCTTTACAAGTGATTTAACCTCCGACTTGTACTGGCTTTGGTTGCAGTTATCGGTTTCTACTTGCGTTTTGAGGATGACAGTGTGGAGTCTGCAAAGACTGTGAAGCAGTGGAATGTCAAGATTATTTCAGTGAGCAGATTTATTGTTGAAATTGTTATCCTTATAGTATAATACATAGGGAACAACAAGTAACACTTGATTTACATTTCTTTGGTCAACTTTTCATAACAAGTATCCAATTTGGATGTGCAGGTTAGTAAGAACAAGCGGCATCAGGACAGAGCAGCAGCTCTTGAGGTGTGGGACAAACTTGAGGAATTTATGCGGTCTCGGTCACGCTGAGATGTGTCAAGTTTATCTATTCTGGTATGTAAATCTTTTTGTGGGAGGCACCATAATCAAAGTGAAACCCATTTATGTATAGAAGTACTTGTAAAAGGCCTGACTAATATCCAGACTACAAAACACCATCAAGATGGTGACAAGAAATTAAATAGAAAAAAAAAAACTAAACTAATAAATTATCAGCAATTAGTTTTTGGAAGCAATTTCCTCTTGTTGTACCCTTTGATTCCTTCCCTATTGTAATTGCTCAGTTTGTAATCATGTTAAAGTCCAGCCTCTTAAGACATTGGAGGAGCTCCCAATTTCTTTTAATTGTTATCTCTAGTAAGAATTGAGAATTAGATTTAAGTTATAGTATATAGATATTTATATTTTAGTCTGGGCTATGTGAACTATTTATAGTATAGATTTAAAATAATGAAAGCACACAAATTTATGCCATTCTTTTAGTTTTTTATGGTTGTGATATCTATTTGATACTCTGTATTACATTAGCACTTAGGTATTGACGTTTTAAATGTATTTGTTATGATAATTTGGATGTGTAGATATGCATATCTTTAAAGGTGTATCCTCCTGCAGTCAATGAATGGAGTGTAGTTTTAAAATCCCCTTAAACAGTGGTTTGAACTGGGGGCTGACCGATGCGTTTGGAAGGGTGGGTCAGTTGGTCAATGTATTGTAACCTTACCCAACCCCAATCCGTTGCCATGTGCTCGGTGCCTTCTTCTGCTAGAGGTCTAGAGTGAAAATTAATATAGACATTGAAGAGTTGCTCAAAGCATGCATTTGACAAAAGATAACATGGATTTTGGTGATGAGAATTGGCCTCCTTTGATAGAGGGCGTTTCTCCTTCCCTTCATATTTCTTTCTCATATCACTTCTAATGATCAGAATGCTTCTGTAATACTTGAATCTCTGTCCTATATCAATCAAAATGATGTATTTTCTCTTTTGTAGGAGGGGGTGAACTTAAACCCGATGACCATGACGTGACTTAACTTTGGGTAACGACTGACACTGCGGCCTTTGAGAAAGCATCAAGATGCTGGCTGTTGTTACATCATAACTCCAAACAATCCATGTTTTGCCTTGTGGGTCTGTTTCACGCTCTAGCGTGTGTTTCTTCTTTCTAAAACATTGTTGGCTGTAGATGCAAAACATGTGCAGCGAAAGCTTTGTTCTGAAGATGCAGAGCTCCAAAGCTAGCTGTGATTAACATTGTGCAATACCAACAGTAGTAGGCATTGTGCCACTCCTGTTACAGGTAGATACCATTGTAGGTTTGTGTCAAAGCATCGTATTTATTTCTCCTTTTTAAATTTATGTGCAATAGCCTCTGTTCCCGAGTTTAGTGCATTTTCTGTACATAGCAATTTTGTTCTCTCGGATTGTAATCATGGTGGTCTTGTGTTTAAGGATTATACTGTTTGTTTGGCATCCATTTATGTAACTTCCCAAATTCATTTCCCTTGGATCTGTGTCAAATTTTATATTCTTGAAGTTATGGTTGGATTGAAACATAGAAATCCAACATGAATTTATGTAATAAAATGTACTCAGTGCTCACTCACTGGTAGTGTTTGTGTGTTTCTCTCACCAAGTCAAAAATAAACTCCAAATGGGGTTTAATCAAACAATATATATTCCTACTGCCTTAAAGTTATTTTTAATTTAATTTTCTCATAATATGAAGTTTAAATTAAATAATATCAAATAAATCACTAAATTACACACGAAAATGTAATTAGGTCTTTGGCTCCCCAATTGAAGACAAATAAGGTTCTTCGTCGTCCGCCGGAGACAAGGGACCTCTTTGTCTCCAGGGGGTTCTTCGCTTCAGGCAGCCGGAGAGATGAAGACTGTTCGCTTCAGGCAGCCGGAGAGATGAAGACTGTTCGCTTCAGGCAGCCCGGAGACGAAGCGATAATCTTGTTTTTTTTTTTTTTTTTTTTTTTTTTTTTAAATTTTATTATTTAAAATTATTAAAATAAAATAAAAATTATTATTTTAATATGATACCTTCCACGTCAGCGAACTAACAAGTAAACATGTCACTTTTAGTTTAATTGCATCATTTTACGTTGTTCAGGGACTTATGCATTTTTTTAATTCAATAGCCTAATTACATTTTCGTGTATAGTTGAGACCTATTTGATTCTTATTTCGAAGTACTATTAAACACACAAAAAAAAAAAAAAAAAAAAAAAACAAAAAACAAAATCATTCATTAAAAAATACTCTGTACTAGTTAAGAGTTAATTTGACTAATAAATAAAGTATTAAATACGTAGATAAAAATAGTTTGACTATTGATTACTAAACAAAATCGAGAGACTATATTATATGATGTAGGTTTGCTATGAATAGCATTTTGCATTATTATATTAATGTGTTCTAGAAATTAGGATCGGATAGAAATTTAGGCATTATAATAAGTTGTGATTGAATCGATCAGTGTGACAATATATGATATTATATGGTGTTAGTTGGGTGTGAATAGCATTTGACATTATTATATTAACATGTATTACTATCTATTTTAATATATTAATATTAATAGACGAAGTCAAAGATTTAACTCTGTTCAAAGTAATATAATAAAATCATACTCCAATTAATACACGAATAATATATTATTTGTAAGACAGGTGTAACAGACTAACATCTAGCAAATGCAACCAAATCAAACCAAACCGAGGCAATCAAAGAATAAAAATACAAGGTTGAAACAAGGAACTCGATCAGCAGCTGATGAATGTTGAAACATAAGATGCAACCAAAGGAATGAAGAACACAAGAGGAGCTGCCAACTTGTTTGAAGTTGCACCAGATGGCGTAGAATTCGATCCTCCACCTATAACACATATAAATCTAGAGTTAAATTTTGGCTAATTACACAAAATCAGAATCCGAAACGTTATTTATCTGAATAGTCTTAAACTGAGGTAATAACACACCTGAACCAGTATTCGGAGAACCAGATGTCCCGGTTGGAGATCCTCCGGAAGGTGAAGTCGCTGTCAAACAAAAAATTCAATTATATTAGTCTCATTTTGGGAGATGCTGATACCAGTGTGCAAAATGCATATAGGGAATAGGGATGGGGCTTAATTAGTTTTTCTCCCAAGGTTGAATCCCAAACCCATAGACACCCATGTCACGACCAGACAGAGCATGTGATAGGAGGCGGTAACTCAAGAACTCAACAGAGAATGACCAAATACCGATACCCACAAGGGATCTTACTACTTTGACATAATCCTACATTGCCACTACCGAGTTTCAAACCTTGATTCCTCCCAAATACTCTTACTGAACTAGTGAGCTAAGCCTATGTGGCGGCTCAATAGCTCAGCAGACTGAGGGCATAATACGAGTACGCACAATGGATTTGTCCACTTTGAACATAATCCCTACACTGCCTCTGCTGAGTTTCAAAACTTAGCTTCTTCTCCCAAATACTTCTACTGAACTAATGAGCTAAGCCCGTGTTGGCGGCTTAAATAGTTCTTACTTTTGCAGGTGGTGGCGGATGGGGTCTGAATTTTGCAGGCGGTTGGGAGGGCTAGAGCCTGAGTCTGGTTGATGTTTAGGCCAAGGTTGGAGGCGCCGCCGTTAAGAACCTGGCACAGGCACTCCGGCTTGTTCTTCACGACGGTGCCGAGCTGCGTACAACAGCCCGCCGTTGGAAGCGAAGAGTTTCCGGTGATGTAGTTGAGGCACGGCGACATGCTGATTATCACGTTGGTGCAGTCGTCACTTGACTGAGCCGCCGCGCCTGCCCAGAAGAGCGCAACTAGTAGGATCAAGGAAACACCACCCCTTTGAATCGCCATTGAAATGAGCTTAATTATTTGCTTTGACTTACTTGGTTATTGCTAGATCGAGGAGGAGCGTGTGGGCTTATATAGCAAATTCAGTGGATTAATCAAATGAGATTCGTTTTTTATAGGATACCTACTTCTCCTGCTTTGTTCATAACTAATAATGGTCAACGACAAAGACTTACTATCAACTCCCGGTTTAGATAATATGTGACAAGCAAAAACATACAAAAATATACTTTGTAAGTATAAAAATTTATGTTATAAGTATTACAATATTCATTATTAGTAACAATTAATTTTATCCTAAATAGTATCATGATTTTACATATAAGTAAATTCAAATTGATATTACAATAAATATTACTTTGTACAATTTATTTCGTAAGTAACATTTCGCATATAAGTATTACAATGTTTATATTATAATTACACTTTATAAGTATCACAATTTAAGTTATAAGAATTACAATATTTATTATTTGTAACAATAATTTACTCTAAATAGTATCACAATTTCACATATAAATATTACAATATCTATTATAAATACTAATTTATTTATTTTAAATTGGTATTAAATTTTCTGTAATGAGTATTATGATTTCTATCCTAACAAACAACTATTTTAAATTTAACCCGTCTCACGGATCTTCTCACACAAGTGTAGCTCTATATGTTATGAGTTCAATTGTTATCATATTTTTACCTTGAATAAGAGTCAAATTCTGTATGCATAATATATATCAAAGGAAAAGGGTCAAATATGCCATCGAACTACACAAGATAATACAATTAGGCCACTGAACCTAAAAAATCAACAATCGGGTCCCTAAACTAATCAATTTCAAACAAATCTTCCAATTTGTAGGTTTCCAACAGGTTAACAGCTCATCCTCCCAAATTAATTATTTTTTAAAAAATAAAATTTAAAAAAAAATTATATAAGTAATTAAAAAAAAAAAAACAGAAACGGCCGGAGACGAAGAAACTTCTTCGTCTCCGGCCAGTTTCTTCGTCTCCATCCATAGGGACGAAGAAACCTTCTTCGTCCCCATGGCCGGAGACGAAGAAACTCTTCGTCTCCGGCCGTGGAGACGAAGAAACTGGCCGGAGACGAAGAAGTTTCTTCGTCTCCGGCCGTTTCTGTTTTTTTTTTTTTTTTTAATTTTATTTTATTTTAATAATTAATTTTTAAATTTTATTTTTTAAAAAATAATTAAGTTGGTTGTTGACCTGTTAGAAACCTTCAAATTAGATGAATTGTTAGGAATTGGTTAGTTTAGGGACTCAATTGTTATTTTTTTAGGTTCAGTGGCTTAATTGTATTATCAGGTGCAGTTCGATGGCCTATTTGACCCTTATTCCTATATCAAATTCATATTAATCTCATAGGGTGATAATATTAGACAGCAAATGCAATGAAATAATAATAATAATAATAATAATAATAATAATAATAATAATAATAATAATAATAATAATAATAATAATAATAATAATGACCAATCAAATTTAAAGAAAATGAGTTTTATATTTTGATAAAAAAGAATTAGCTCGGAGATTTGAAAACAACTCAATAATATATTTGGTTTAGACTTGATAATTTAGATAACGTTTAATTTTGTTATGACCCTACGTTCCGTCGTATATTGTTTGTGTCAAAATCCTTGATTTCATATTGACGGTAAATAAGTTACCGGACACTATTTGAAAAGTAATCACAATTGTAGTGCTTAGAGTGTTAACTATAAGAATTAGAACATATCCTTATCCATTGAAAGGTTTTTTTTATTTATACTAATTAATGTCTGCAACGCCTCTCTGTTCAAGTAACAGTTTCATAGTAATAAAGCGTCGAGCCTACATTATATTGAGTGTGGTATTCACCATAATTGTTCCTCTTGAATAGGTCGGTGGAGTAAAATATTTATGTTACGTGGCGTTTGGTTTCTTCATGTGATTTGGGGTTGGGTGCTGTCCAATTGTGCTGTGAGGTACTTTGAAATGTAGAATTATTGTTGTAGCTTTCCCATTGGGAATTAGGTACATAAATCACCAAAAATGCAAATGGGTAGTTGTAATGTAGTTGACCAACTAACTCAATTAAATGAAATGCTGCAATGTGTCATCCATGTGGCAAGCTTCTACTTGTGCGTTGTTTCAATATGTAAAGACTTTTCAATCAAAGTATTATTGCTTTCGTGGCGGTGAAATTTCAACACTTATCCGTACTAAATAGTCTTTTTTATGCGCAATGCACAAAAATAAATGCCTAACATTATTAATATTCAATGTTAAAATCGTAGTTATAATTTTTACAAAAATTCATAAAATTTATAGTTGTAGAATTCATTTTATATATTAAAAAGTATATTAATAACTGTGGTATGATTAATAATTTATTTATTGTATATTCAAATATAATATTTACATATATTATTACAATTAAAGAATATAAAAAAAATATGGTGGATGCAAGTGCATGGTAACAGTAATGTAAATAGATAACGGAAGTTATAATGGTAGGAGCATTGTTGTTCAAAAAATTATATAGTACTATATTTATAGCTTAATGTATTAAAAAAGATAACAAAAAAACGGACATAAATGAAAGGAACCAACCTTCATTCACACTTATTAGATTTTTGGAATAAGGGTCAAATAGGTCACTGAATTGCACACCAAAGTGCAATTAGGCCATCGAACTCAAAAACAATGCAATTGGACCCTTGAACTACATAAAATCATGCAATTAGGTCCAAAATGAAATGTTTACCTGAAATGCAAGTTACTAATTTTAAAAATAATTTGTAAATATATTTTAAAATAAAATAATTAATTAAAATTATATAATTTAAATAAAAAACAACAACAAAAAAAAAAAAAAAAAAAAAAAAAACTAAACTGCCGGAGATGAATCGTCTCCTGCAATCTTCGTTTTCATGGCCAGGGAGACGAAGCTTCGTCTCCTGGCCATGGAGACGAAGACTGCCGGAGACGATTCGTCTCCGGTAGTTCTAGTTTTTTTTTTTTTTTTTTTTTTTTTTTTTTTTTCTTTTTAATTTTAATTAATGATTTTTATTGAAAATTATATTTAAAATTTATTTTTGAAATTGGTAACCGCCACGTCAGCACAATTTAAGGTCAACATGTTATTTTAGACCTAATTGCATAATTTTGTGTAGTTTAAGGACTCAATTGCATTGTTTTTGAGTTCGATAACCTAATTACACTTTGATGTGCAGTTCGGTGGCCTATTTGACCCTTATTCCTAGATTTTTAGATTCTTAAGCTTTTCATAATAATGTAAAATTTGAATGTGGCCTTTAACAATTGTGTGTAATTAATAAAATGTTAATTAAATTCAATTGGATTTCCTTTCAAAAAAAAATAAAATAAAATCAATTGGATTTATTAGTAGAGTGGGGCTCGTCTACAGGTGATAACATTATTATATTTGATAAGATAAAAATACAATATATGTAATTACGAAATGATAAATACAAAATATCAGTAACATTTATAATCTCTAAAGCCCAAATGATAAATAATTGACTATATTTAGTAATACAATGCTCATAATAAATGGAGACTAATTACCTTTATATGAAAATATCTACCACATAAGATTGCTATTTGCTATTGATGAATTCAAAATGAAAAAGTCATAAGTCCATAATGAAGTAAAAAAGCTTCATTCAGAACCATTAAACCGGTAAAATTAAAGAATATAATTGTCTTCTAAATTTACCTATTAAGTAGGTTAATATTGATGTGGTGAACACATGACGCTTTTATGTCTTGAATTGGACCATTTTTTTTTGGTAGGAAGAATTGGACCATTTGAGATAGAGATGAAGGTAGTCTTTCGTCACCCTCTCATTAAGGCTGCCTTCGTTAGAAAGAAAGGCAAATGCGATAAAGAATGGTGCTCTTGATTTTTTCCCCGATCCCTCTTCATTTGTACTGTCCCTACTAGGGATGAGAAAAGTGTTAAATATTATTGAAATAAATAATAATGTATGTCCTAGTATTTTGGCATTATTTTACTATTTTCTGTTAGTGCTCAGTTAGTGGTGTTAGTGCGCAGTTCATTAGTATGTGGTTAGTTTTGTAATGCCTATATAAAAGGCTATCTCATGCACAATAAAGATATGAGTTTTACGTACTTCTGTTTCTCCTTATTTTATAACATTTGGTATCAAAGCCAGGTTAAATATTCATATGAGCAGTAGCTCTAAGTGAGAGGAAGTGAATATTGAGAGAGAGTCTTTTCGATAGACATGGCAGCTGAAAATTTTGTTCAACCCGCTATTCCTCGTTTTGATGGCTACTACGACCATTGGAGCATGCTAATGGAGAATTTCCTGAGGTCGAAGGAACTTTGGTGTGTTATTGAGCCAACTGCAGGGACGTCAGAAGAGCAACGGACAAAATTGGAGGCATTGAAACTGAAAGATCGCAAAGCAAAAAATTATCTTTTTCAGGCAATCGAACGTCCCATCTTGGAGACAATACTATGCAAAGATTCTTCCAAGAGTATATGGGACTCCATGCAGAAAAAGTATGAAGGTTCTACAAAAACAAAGAGGCAGCAGCTTCAAGCACACTTCATACAGAGTTCGAAACACTCCGCATGAAGTCGGGAGAGTCAGTTACAGAATATCTCTCTCGTACAACCGCGATTGTCAACAAGATGAGAAATCATGGTAGCAAAATAGAGGATTCTGATGTTGTTGAAAAGATTCTTCGATCCATGACACCGAAGTTCAATTTTGTTGTGTGCTCCATAGAGGAAGCTAACGACGTGGAAAAACTTTCCTTGGATGAATTACAGAGTTCTTTAATGATTCATGAGCAGAAACTTATTCATCAGGAAAATGAAGAACAAGCATTGAAGATCTCAATAGAAAATCATCCATCATCGAGGGGAAATAGAGGACGAGGTAGAGGAAGAGGAGGAAGGCGAGGTGGCCATAATACCTCAACAACCCATAAACCGAGAGACTTATCAAAGGTTGAGTGTTATCGTT